CATAGTAAGATTCTAGTACTCAGGTAATTGATAAAGCATAGAATTTTTGAACGTTAATTGAAGCATATTTAAACATACCTCCTGTAGAAGAGCCTAGGGAATTTACATATATGTTTTTTTTCAGTAGTTTTGATAACTAAATGAAGGTAAATCCCATATGTAATCCATTATCCTTCAGGCAGTACTCAGGCTGAAAGTTTCATTACACCTTTCTGAGACAGTCACATGAAATTAGTTAAATATTAATCTGTACCTTTCTGCTTAGTTGGATTAGCCCAGCATCACTAAGTTGCCTGTAGACGCTTTGTTCAATTGAAAGGCCTTTAAAAATTCGGAACTTGATGCCCTCTCGGATGTGATATGGAGTGGAAGCCTGCTGGCCCCTAGATTTTTACTTTGTGTCATTGTTCCAGTACAAGCCTTTTAAGGCAGCAAAGCCAGTCTTTGTAAATGAGATCTGTGGAGACTGCATTGCTGTTGATTATAAATAGTCTTGCTGCAGCTTTAACCTTTAGATTGCTAACAGATCTAGTGCATAATATGAAAATCCCCGATGGATTTAACTCGTTGTGGCCAGGCAGTTAGCTTTTCTTTGAAAAACATTGAGGAATAACTTTTGAAAATTTGGTGAACCCAGTAAGCCCTCCTATGTCTAATTGAAGAAAAAATATTCTATGAACGTATCTAAATTACATGGTTGTAATTGTTTTTATTTTGTTCAAAATATGCTTGTTAAAGCCTGTGAGGTTTACAAAATCAAATGCATTTCTAATCTCAATGTCCATTAAGCTCTCCTCCTTAGCAAAACTGGTGCTAGTAAAAGCTTGATGCAGTGGAACACACGGCCATGTTTGTTGATTGACTAAAAGAGAGGAACTGATTTACTAAATTTATTCCTAAAAGACTACAAGAAGTCCATTCCACAGACATTTATTGGGTACTAGGGATAAAAGAATGACTGTTCTTGCCTTTGATGAACTTAAAATCAAAGGGGGGAGGGGATTGTGTGTGGGGAAGACAAATAAGTACATTGTAAGACAGAATGTGATAGGAGCAAAGGAGAGAGGCAGACAAATTCTTTAGGAAAATTTGAGGAGCAAGAGAACTTTTTCAGCTGGGGACTAGTGAGCTTCATGAGGAAAGGTACCTGAGCTGAGCATTTAAGGATTTCAGCAGATTGAGGTGAGGGTAGGAATATGTTTCAGGCCTGGAGGATGATAAAATCAAGGGAACACAGCTGATCTTCAATTTGGCTCTTCTCATATAGGTTTTGTGAAAGGGAGCAGTGGGATGGAAAGGTTGGAGTCAGATTGTGGAGAATCTTAAATGCCAAACTAAGGAGTTTGCCTATAGGAAATGAAAGAGCCATGAAAGTTTTTTAGTAGGGGAATGATATGGTCACATCTGAGCATTGGAAACATTATTATTTCAACTATGCAAAGAATGGACTGATAAGGTTGAGACTGGAGGCAGGAAGCCACTTAGGATGCTGGTTTAATGGTCTAGTCCATTAGAGATGTAGGCCTAACCATGCTAACTCTGATTCTCTAGTAGAGAAGAGAAGAGATGATGGGTGCTAGAGATAGGGCTCTCTCCAACTTCTCAAGTATTGCCAGAGGCTCTGAAGCCTTCGCTTTCTAATGGTCCACTACTCTTCAATTTCAGTTCAATAAACACTTATTCTTATTGGGGGAAAAAAGCACAAAACATGTTGCGTATTGGAAATTACATAGTACCTGCCCTTAAGAAACATATTCTCCTGGAGGGTGGGGATATACAGCTAACAAAATGTAAGGTAGGTGATGCAGGGCACAAATTAATGTGCCAAGCAAAGTGCTCTGTGGGAATATGAGGAAGGACAGAACATTTTAGGTGGGGGAAGGTTTCACGGGGCAATAATATCTGAGTTGAACTGTGAAGGAAGAGGGGGATGTAGAGATGAGGGTATATGTTCCAGTCATTCATTCACCAGCTTGTGTACCACATTTGACTTGGGCCTTGAAGGATGGGTCAGAGACAGGGAGGCAAAAGGGAAACTGTCCCTGCCCTCAAGGGGCTTATATTCTAACCAGGGAGACACTCCAGCTTTCAAAGATCCAGAGTCAGGAAAAAGGTAGTCTTCTCACCATGTGACTGTTAACCTAGGCAGTTAAGTGGTGCAGTTGATAGAGCACTGGGTCTGGAGTTAGGAAGACCAGAGTTCAGTCTCACCTCAGACACTTAGTAGTTCTGTGACTTTGGGCAAGTCATAGAACCTTTGTTTGCCTCAGTGTCCTTATCTATAAAATGGAGATAATAATGGTACCTACCTCCCAAAGTTGTTGTGAAGATCAAATGAGATAATATTTGGAAAGTGCCATGCACAGTACTTGGCATGTAGTAAGCACTAGGTATATTCTCCTTCCTCTATTTTCTAAAACTGTGCTTCAACACTAGTCCCAGGTAGTTAGGCCTCTTCATGCCAATAATGGTTAGAGATAGGATTAGAATCTGTGTCTTCAGACCTGGAAGAATCTATGTCTTCAGACTCCAGGTCTAGCCTTCCTGTCTCTGACTGTGTCCTACCCATCCTTCAAGGCCCAAGTCAAATGCTGTTTCCTTCATGGAGCCATTCCAGATGCTCCCAACTGGAAATTACTTCTTCTTCATCTGACTTAGCGCTTTTATACTCTGATTTGCATCTATCTATATACTTGTATTACTTTCCTTTTATTAAATTGTAAGGTCTTTAAGGGCAAGATTTGTCTTGAATTATTTTTATACCTTTGTCTTTACTGAGTATAGTATACTTTACTTGGTAGACAATACATTTTTATTGGCCAGGTGAATGAGCCTAGAAGTCAGTGGTGATTTATGTTTTTAGAATACTGTATTGGTGCTAATATAAAATATTTTTCACAGGAAAGATATATAATATATATTATGTATATATGTATTCAGTGATTAAAAAAACATCACTTCTTAGTTCACTCTGGTATTTTATACAGTCCGATATTCGGGGGGGGGGGAAATGTGGCTTATATTTGGATCTATATAGTCAGTATTTGATAGGACTTACATTGATAGGTAATTTTTTTTTCAAATATACATCTAATCTGATCTTACCTTCCCTATTTCTTACAGAATAAATAATTTGCTTTGTAATTTATAGATCATAGATCTTAAGGCTATTGCCCAAACCAATTTCTGTCACTTCAGCACTATGTAAATTTAAAATTGTTAGAAACAGTTTTAAAGTTAAGTAATTCTTAAACATCTTGCTAGTCTATGACCTTATAACCCTATTCAATCCCCTATAAATGATTTTTAATTTTTCTTTTATTCTTTCATAAACTATTTTTCGTTTTCCCTTTCTGAACCTATAAATTCTTCCAGTAATTCAGTTTTGTAAAAATTTTAGTTTAGGAATGGTAGATTACATGATGAGCTAGTTTTCTGTAATTATTTCTAATAAAATATATCTCACAGTCCCCTTAGGAGTCATGAATCCTGTCAACTGCCTGCCTATATTTTATAGGAAAAAAAATCCTTGTAATGAGATCTGCTTAATTTAGTTCATTTTTTAAAATATATAACACCTGGAATGCTACTTCTACAGAGATGATTTCTGCTTATGGTTAATAGCATTTCTGTATCTGATTTGGTACACTGGTATAAGGGTTAATGAGGCATGCTGTTTTTCCCCAGTAGCAATATATGTTTTTCTATGTCACAGTGGTAAATTTCAAGTCATTTTACAGTGGACCCAGTAAGATGTACAGTATTTTAAGTTCTCTCTCACTACTTTTGCCCTGAGGACTCTGAAAATTAATGTCAGTAGCTCATGTAGACAGTTTTTGATTGTGGAAAATTGTATGGGAAGGAGGAGGCCTTTTGAGTTTCTTTATATGGGATTTCCCTTGTAGCAAATGCTTTTTTTTTTTTTCCACCAGAGGCACTGGTGATTTTCTCTCTAAACTCATTGCTTTTCTAATTTCTAATTTCTAAACTCAAGCTAGCTGTACCTCCCTGGCTGGTGATGAATATGTTCTATACAAGTATAGAAGTATTCTTTAGGCGATTCTTCTCCTTAGCTTTGGGGATATCATATACAGTTTGAAGGCATTTTAAGAGTTTACTATGTTAACTTTTATATGTAATGCCAGAGAAATAGACTTCAATTTCATGGAATGACTAGAAACTTTAGAAACCTAAGAATATGGTGATATAAAGCTGAATATTTGCTCTGTCTTACTCTCACTCTTTCTACCCCAATACTAAATTTTAAATATTTAAGTTTTAAATATTAGATATTTAAATATTCTGTTTACTGAAGTAGATAGAAATATTGATTTTTATTTTTTCAGAAAAAATTCTAAAGTATTGACATAGCTACAGAAATGAAAAATGTACGTTTGTAATTTAATTCTTTTTAGTCCTAAAATAATGTTGAAGATACCCTAAAAGAATGCCACAGTACTTCAAAATCAAATAAATTAACTATAAAACATGTTTATGACTGAAACTTCATGTTACCAGTTAAGGATACATACCATTAAAATCTATATTAGAGTGTTGTTGAATTATTAGAATTATTTTAATAAAAAAATTATTAGAATAATTTTTTTAAAGGAAACAAGATTTTTTTTTTAAGGCATGACTGGTGCAACAGAATGAAACCATTGGCTTTTAGTCCTGGCACAGTATGGGACAAGAGAGCTTTATATGTGGCTTTAATGACTCTTTGCTGTGTCTGAATTTAAGAACAATGCTAATATATTTCATGCACAGTTGTTCAGTACTTTGACATATCCCCATTCATTTTCCTGGGTTTAAATAGAATTCTAACAGATGCTCTGTGAGGAAAGAGAAGCCCAAGGATCCTTCAGTTCAAAATATAACCGCTGTAATGTCTGGTTTAAATCCAAAGAAAGGAGCGAATAAAAACATTTTTGTTCCAAACTTATACCAGCTTTAACACACGCCACTTACATCCCCACAGTATTAAAGGAAACACTCACTAAAAGGCAACTCTCAGATCCCACGGAGCAGAATCACAGCAGGGTTCATTCCTGGATTTGTTTTCGACTTCTATCAGTGTCCTCTCTTTCAACAGATCCAGCTCGAATCACGTGAACAGAGTTGCTTGGCAGGTTTTGTTGCCCTTTTGTCCCCTGAGAATTTCAATCTCATTTATTTTGACCTGTGGGTCTCTTAGCTGTGAGTCTTTGAAGAATAGAGAAGAAGCAAAAGCATCAGCTCAGCATAGTGCAGCAATTTTTTTTTCTTTTTCATAGCATCAGATTTAGAAACTCCCATAGGTGGAGGTTAAAAGATGATGATTCATATAAGCTAAGTAATTCTTTTGGCTGAAATATGGAGCAAGGGTAGATAACATTCCTCTGGTTTAAATAAATTGTGCTAGGACTAGATGTCACATCTACCATATTTTATCTAACATTTCATTAGGAGGGTAAACTAGTACTAGAAAAAAAATGATCAGCTTCATATTAGCATTTAGGAAAATCTAAATACTTCACATTTCAGCATTAATCTCCATTGTTGGTGGAGCTGTGTCAAAATACATTGCAAAGATGGAGTCTCTTTTGCTTTCATCTGCAGGAGGCTTTTGCTTTAAAATCTTCCCACTTTTGCTGGTTATGAAGGCATTCTCTGCGTTTTGCTGGTTTTACATAGCCAGACCTCTTGGGGATAGGGGAGCAGGCAAAAAATGGGCCCTAAGTGGTTGATAATTTTGTAATTTCTTTATCTTTTCTTTTATGCATCTGAGTCATCTGAGTCCTGTATTTGATTAATGAGTACAGATTTTATTTATTTATGGTTCCTTGGACTTTGAGACTTATGTTGTGTTTGAAGAAAAATTTTGAAAGGTTTCTGGGAAAGAATCAAGACATTCTTTTTGTATAGGTAGGATAAAGTTGATGTTTTTATATCTTTTCTAGAGCTAACTGAAATCCAGTAAGTCCAGTGTTTTAAAGTTATAGGTTTAAGTCTCCGAGGTGGGGTACTAATTTCATCCAATGAAAGCCAAGAAATAAAAGGCCCCTTTGTGAATGAAAAAGACTAGCTTTTGGCAGATGCAGTGCCGTGTAGCATCTCTGTTGACCCTACTATACTTTGCAGCGGGCTGTAGAGTTTGGTTACCAAAAGCATTCTCTGATGCCTTTGGGGCTCCCTACTTCCATTTCTGAAGTGCTACTTTCTACTTCTCACAGATTTATAAGTTTGTTGCCAAGGATTCATTCATTCCTTCAACAAATACCCAGCCAACAAATATGCCTAGAGCTGAACACTATGTGTGTGAGTTGTTAGGTAAGTTAGAAAGCTTAGGTCAGACAAGCCTCTCGACTTCATGGAGCTTACGTCTAGTAAGACATAAACACAGGTCAGTATAAAGCAAAGCTTCATGTGGTCACAAGATGTTGGGTAATAAGCTTAGAAGCTGTGCCCAGGCCAGCTCAGGTGTCTTGTCATCTCTTACCAGTGTCATTCTCTTGTTCATTTGATTCCTTCTCTATTTCCTTTATGTTTTTGGTATGCATTTTGTATCCTCCTCAGTAGAATGTAAGCTTCTTGAAGCTAGAGCCTGTTTTGGTTTGGAATTGTAGCCTCAAGTCTAGCATATAGTGCCTTGTACATCAGAGAATGTCAGCTTTGGAAGAGATTTTAAACTAAGAATTTAACCTTTTTATGTGTTAGGGACCACTTTGTCAGTCTGGTGAAATCTATAGACCTCTTTTTAGAATAGTACATTTAAGTGCATAAAATAAAATGCGTAGGATTACAAAGGAAACCAATTGTATTGAAATAGTTTTCAAAATATTTGGGCAGCTAGGTGGTGCAGTGGATAGAGTGCCAGTCCTGGATTCAGGAGGACCTGAGTTCAAATCCAACCTCAAACATATAACACTTACTAGCTGTGTGACCTTGGGCAAGTCACTTAACCCCATTACCTAGCCAGAAAAAAAGAAAAAGAAAGAAAAAGAAAAACTCAAAATATTTAAAACAAAAGAGTCCACAGATGCCAGATTAACAATTCCTTCCTTAGACCACGAACTATCAGAGAAAGACTTCAAAACAGTGGTGTCAAATTCAAATAGAAAAGGGAGCCACCAATCTAAACTCCCTGTAGGCCCCATATTGACTTAGTTTTAAAATGTAGTCTTGTCTGTTTTATTTTATTTTTATTTATTTTGTTAAATATTTCCCAATTATATTTTAATCTGGTTCAGGCTGCCAGGCAGTGTGTTTTGACACTTCTGCTTTAGAACTTGGAAACAAACAGAGTGAGCATTTAAATATTTGTTTTTTAAGCTGCTTAATTTTGACTTGGAAAATAATGTTAAAGGTAGAAAAATATATTATAAAAGGATGGGTTTAAGGGACCTGAAGATGTTTCATAGAAAGACAGCTAGCTGGTTTAATAGATCTCTGGACTTGGAGTCAGGAAAAAACTAAATTTGAGTCTTACTATGTGACCTTGTGCAAGTCACTTAACCTTTGGATTCAGTTTCTTCATCTGTAAAATGAGGATGATAATAATAGCACCTACCTGCCAGTGTTGTTCTATGGCAAAAGTGAGATAGTGTATAATATGAAGCACTTTGCAGACCCTAAAGTGTTATATAAATGTTAGCTATTATCAGTACTAATTAAAGAAGAGGGAGGGAGAGACTTAGAGGAGGGAAGAACATGATAGGTGTCCTCAAGAATTTGAAGGTCCACATTATGGAAGAAATATTTTGTTTGTTTGATTCTCTTGTCTGTAGTGCAGTATATTATAAATAGTAGAGGCTTAATAAATGTTACTTGATAACAAAAAGTAACTTAGGTTTTTATAGCACCTTGAGGTTTACCAAGCACTCTATTTATAGTGACCCTATTATTATTCCTACTTACAAAATGAGAAAACTAAGACTATATTACAAGGTGAATTCTATTGGGAAGTGAAAGTGATGTAAAAGAGAAAGTATCTGTAAAACATTTTAAAAAACTGAAACTCAGAGCTGTTAAATGACTTCCCTGTAATCACACTCCTAGTAAATGTTGGAGATTCATTTCAAACCTAAATCTCATGGTCCAAGACCAGTACTCTTTGTGCTGCTTCTCCTGAATGAATAAAATAAGAAAATAAGCAACGGTTCAACATCTGTCCTCATTCCCAAAATATTCCTGTAAGAGCTGCATCCTGAATTCTGAACAGTAGCTTAAACACCAGTCTGATTTATTTTTTTTTAACACAAGGTCTGTCCCTCATTTCTTGGATAGGAAATAAGCCAGTATCCTGGTTCCGCCCAGTATCAGTGTGATGACACACTAAATGGACAAATAGGCTGCTTCCTGTTAATTATCTGAGCTTACTGTAGTATTTCAGGAATCTTTGATCTCTGATTTCATCAGTGCTGATAGTTTACAGCCCCTTTACCATTTAGTGGATGGTCTTCTGAGTTACCATGGCTGCTGAATTTAGTACCCTGTGGTCATTTGGGTGAAGAGCCCTTCTACTCTTAAATTGTTCCATGTGGGAAAGAATCTGCAAAAGCATGGACCTTCAAGAACCCAGACTCACCTGCATGCAACAGAAAGGTGTTAGAGCAGGATTTTAGCTAAACATGAAAAAATATGCAAAAGTATAACTTTTTTAAAACACATGATTTCTCTTTATTGAAAGAAATAAAGGACCTATAAGATTTAAAAGAAAAATAGCCATTTTGTCTGTGCTACTTCTTTTTAATAGGTATGTCATGTACTCAGGCCATTAGATTGTAATGAAATAATGACTAAAATAAAACAGAATTGCACTTGAACTTAATTTCTGTCCATATTTAATTTATAAGGAATTTTTATTAATTTAAAAATATGGCTTAAATCTTCACATGCTTTTACTTTTTCCCCCCCATTAAGGAAGAAAAGCAGTTAGATAAGAGCTGTCTGAATTTTGTAATGGAAAAGGGGAATGTTGCCAACTTTGCTCTCTATCTTGGTTTCCATTACAGGAAAAGTAAATTGTGATTGTGGTAAATGATAGTTCAGATATTATAAAGCATTCTTTGAGTTTCTGGAGAAGATCCCATACCAGATATATATAGCAGCTTGGTCTAGCACCCAGAGTTGTTGCAAAGGATTGGGGGAAGGTAAAAGTCAACTTTTTTTTTTACCTGATTCTGTTAATAATAAATGTGTTCATTTGATTTTACTAATAATTGCAGCCATGGGACTAGGATCTAGGGAAGATACAAAGACAATAAGACCTGGTTTTATATTAAGGGCATTAGCATATTCCAAATTCTTTCATTCTTTTTTTTTTAAACTTGTGGGGGAGGGGTGGCATTCGAGGTTGAGTGACTTGCCCAGGGTCACACAGCTAGTAAATGTCAAGTATCTGAGGCCAAATTTGAACTCGGGTCTTCCTGACTCCAAGGCCAGAGCTCTATCCACTGCGCCACCTAGCTGCCCCTAAATTCTTTCATTCTTAGACTATACTGTCATTCAGGATCAAGACCATGACCCCCCCATTTTTGCAGCTGGAAGAAGTAGACAGTATATCATCATGCTCTCTGTTCCTGGCAAACAGATTGATACTTGCTGTCCTGTCATGACTCACAAATCATTCTTAGTTTATGTCCCAAACTGGTAGTAATAACAGTAGCTTGATTTTTAAAGGCAGAATTCAGCATGGCCTAAAGAAGCAGAGACTGGATGAAAGAGGAACTGACTCACCAGGGATACTCCTGAAGGATGTCTGATTATCGATTTAAAGTTGGAAGAAACCTAATAGGTCATCTAGTCCAACACCCTCTTTTCAGATGAGGGAAATGAGGCCTAGAGTTTAAGTAACTTGTCCACGGTCACACAGGCAATAAGTGGCAGAGTAGACTGCAGCTGTTTATTTGTGAAATTCAGCTAACAGATACTAGGTCATTTTTCCATGGCCTTTGAAATTGGGAACAGATTCTGAAGAGCAAACCCACTGTCCTATACTGATCCCTGCCCTTGTTTTTAATAGTTATTTCTTAAACCTTTTAGATGAACCTGTACATTTTGTTTTCTGTAGAACTACATACGTTTTTATTTGTAGCTCTTAATAGTAAGAGTGTAGACCTTCACCCATCCTGTAAATGTGGTGCTTACAGGATTACTGTTGCCATACTATTTCCTTTCACTAGAATGGACTTTTTTTACCTGCAGAGCTCTGTGACCACGTATTGAAACAGTCATAGTTAGAAATTCAAGGCTGTCAGCTCTCTACCAACTTTAAAATTAGAAGAAGACGTGGAAGCAAAGGCAGGTAACAGGATAAATGCAAAAGCAAAGCATGGTACTTTGGGAATAGTGTTAGAAGTTGTAAAGCTCAGAACTGAGACTGGCATGATAAACAGACAACAGGTTTTTATTTTAAACCTAGATGAGAGAAAGAATAGAATCAAAAATTCCATTGTTGTGGGTGGGTGATAATGGGTGACAGAGAATGGAGCTTCTTGCTTATTTTGTTTCATTTTTCCCTGCGGAGGACAATGGATGAGGGAAAACAGACAGAAAAGACTAACTTAGAGCTGAAACCCAAGATCAGTAGGTACAGACAGGAACTTCCCTTGACAAATTCAGGTCACTTGACCAAGGTAAATTACATCCCAGGATAGATGGGTATATGTGATTGGTGAAACACTCAGAATGATCTTTGAAAAATCATGAAGAAAAAAAAACAATAAAAAAAAAAAGGAGGAAATCACAAAGAGTGAGAAAGGCACTTCAAGATTGGAAAAGGGCAAACTCTGTCCTGATTTTCAAATAAGGAAATAGAGTGAAGTCTTCAGACCATATAGATCACTAAGTTTGACTTAAAAGTTCTTGGTAAAATTAAAGAACTTCTTAAAGGGAAGGGAAGTGGAAAAGAAGCATTGGTTACATAGAGCTGTCAGGGCTTCATCATGCCAGACTAACTTTATTTCCTTTTTTTTTTAATGGGGTTATTAAATTGGCAGATTAAGAGGATTCTGAATATATTTTTAATTAGATTTTAGCAAGGCATTTGATAAAGTCCTTCATGCCTCTCAGGTGAGCTATAAGGTAAGTGTAATTTCAGAACTGCTTAAATGGCTGACCCTGAAGAGTTGTTTAATGGGTCATTATCAGCTGGAAGGGTTTTAGTAGAGAAACTTGGAGATATTCTCTTGGTTCTGTTCTTTTGAACATTTTTAGCAGTGACTTAAAGATGTAGATGTCAAATTTACGGATGACACAAAACTGCCCTTTGTGGCTAACCTCCTTAAAAAGGTCATCTAAAGCAGGTGCTTCTACTTTCTCTCCTCTCTCTCTCTTAAGTCTTTATAATCTGGCTTCCCACCTCATAATTCCACTAAAACTACTCTGTCCAAAGTTACCAGTGATCTCTTAGTTGCCAAATCTTACTTTCTCAAACCTCATTCTCCTCAACTTCTCTGCAGCCTTTGACACCACTGATTAACTCTCCTCCTTGATATTCTTTTTTCTCTAGGTTTTTGGAACACCATTCAGGGGGTAGAAGGTGGAAATTACCCCAATTTTTGAAAAAAAGGAAAAGGCAGATTCTTTTAGTTATTGGCTAATGAGCTTGATTTTCATTCCTGAAAAAATTATAGAATGGGGTGGGTTTGGGACAATGTAGAAAAAGTAGTGATAGCTCCATCAAGATCAGGTAACCATAGGGACACTACCTGTAATGCCTGACTCAACAATGACGTGATGTATGTAAAGCCTTTTACATACTTTTACAAACTTGCTTACTTTTGCACATGTAAATGCTAGATAAATGATTATATTTGCTGAATGAGTAAGGAAATATATTAACTCTGGGCTCTGGAGTGATATATAATGGAAAACTTAGGAAAAGGAGAAAGGAACTTAGAAAGCAAAATGTGTTTCATAAAACTGGTGCTAAATGTCAGGAAACATGGGATGAAAATGGGACTGTGAGAATCTCTGGTGTCACAGCACTGATGTGAAGGCTTTTCTTTTTTCCTTTATTCCAGTGTGGTGTCCCTTTTCAAGAAGATGATGTCGTTGTGCTTAATGGTAATAAAGAGGATGTAGAGGTGTTAAAGAAGAGAATGGAAGACAGGCGACTCAAAATGAAACTGGAAAAGGTAATATACTTTGTTTCATTCTCCAGCATACATGCCAGTGTGTTTATCTTTAATGTTTTTAGATATGTTCTTGGTAAGATTACATTCATGATAGTTCATTTGAATATTATTTTTAATGAGGATAAATACAATTTACATTATTTCTCAGCTTCTTAATAGCTGTTAAGAGAACCTTGGTCAAAGTCTTTATACTTTCCACTGTAATCTAGGAAATTATAGAGCATTGGTTAGTTATCCAGTTCAAGCGTTTAGAGTTACTTACTGAATTACTCTTCATCAGGTTCACTTCTGTTTCAGCTACGTAGCCAGTATGGCATGGCAGATTGAGTGGCAGGCTTGCTTTCAGGAAGATCTGGGTTCCAGTCCAGCCTTTCTTGTTAGCTTTGTGACCCTGAGTAAATCATTTAACCTTTGCATGCCATAAGAAGCTCCTTGAGAATTTATCTACTGAATCTGAAATGGTTGCCATCTCCATTAGTTGAGAGAATTCCCAACCTTGGAATCTTCAGGCTGATAAAATCATAGATCCTTTGATATTCACAAAAGTAGGAAGTGGTATATAACCTGTGCAAAGAGCCTTCCCAACAGCAGGGATTATATGGACCACCATACCCTACAAAACAAGTGTGATTTTTTAAACAAGGCATTAATAAAAATGAGAATTTTTTTAAAGACAAAAAATGCAATGTGACCTGTTTTGTAGGGCAGAAAAGTAGATAATGCATTTTGGAATATTTTCCCCAAAAATAGTTTTTTCAAAGTCCATTTATCCCAAAGGGAGCCACCCAGAATGACGCATAAAATCGTAGAATCTTCCAGTTAAAAGGAACTTCAGAAAACATATAATCCAACTTCCACGACCTTTGCTGGCTCGGCACTCACTTGAGAAGTGCTGCTGGAGGCTTCCTTTCAAACAGAACTTGCTGAGATTCCCAGATATCCAGAACTTTTATCGTACTTTTGAAGTGTGTCACTTCTTTAAAAAAAAAAATCTTATTGCTATTAAATGTGATACTCATTCAAATTAAGTATTTTTGTAGATGTGTTGATGATTATTCTGTTATTACATTGTCACCAAATCATGGAGTACAAATTTTAAAAATATGTAGTACATAAAATATTGGACTGGTTTTGAATCCCACCTTGGACACTTAATAACTTTTTAACTCTTGAACCAGACAGCTAAGTGGCCTAGGAGATAGTGTCAGGCCGTGAGTCAGGAAGACTTGTCTTCCTGTGTTCAAATCCAGCCCCAGACACTTACTAGCTGTGAGGCCCTGGGCAAGTCGCTTAACTCTGTTTGCCTCAATTTGTCATCTGTAAAATGAGCTGGAGAAGGAAATGGCAAACCACTCCAGTTTCTTTGCCAAGAAAACCCCAAATGGGGTTGAACAAGAACAAACTAGGACATTTATTTCTCATCTGTAAAATGAAGGAGTTGAACTAGATGGCTAGTAGGGTTCCCTTCCAGTTCTGATTACAGTTAATTCTTGTCTTTTGAGGTAGTTAAATTCTATAAAGTCTCTGTGAACACTGAATTAGCGAATACTGAACCATTGCTCCTTGGTCGAATACTCGGTTAGGTCTAATATTTACTTTAGCACTTTCCAGAGCAGCCTTACGTATAGATGAGCAAATTTCTTCTTCCTTACTCTGGATGTACCATATTATCGATTCATTAACATTGAACCCATGGCTAACAGAATTATAATCATGCCTGAAAGCTTATCTAACACATTTTCTCTATAAGGCACATCACAGCCTTCTTGAGCTTAGAAAGACTAGGCAGCACTTAGCTTAGGGGCCATTTTAAATAATAAAATCACCAACAAAACACAAAATGAAAAACATGATGCTAAGTAGAATGTGAAGGAGACACGTTTACAATATGAGAGCTGAAAGAAGAAGGCCATATTGCCTTGTTTGAACTCACTTTGGGCAGGTGATTCAAATTTTTCCCTGTTATGTGCATGTCCCCAAATATCACAAAAGCACTGTGGGCATTGAATTTGAGGATACAAAAGAAATTTCAGTGAGTAGACAGATTTGCAAATCTGGAATCCACAAATAATAAAGATTGATTATATATGATTTAATCAAACTCCAGATCTTTCTCCTGAACTTCGATTATACTGTAGCAAATGTCTGTCAACAAGAGAGAGGTTTAAACTAAATAAAGTCAGGAATCTGGTCAGAAAGACCTAAGTTTGAATCCTGCCTCAAACACTTATTGACAGTGTGACCCTGGTCAGGTTTCTTCATCTATAAGATGAAAATAATAGAAACACTCATGCTCCAGGGTTGTTACAAGCCTCAAATGACTTCATATATGTAAAGCTCTTTGTGAACTATTAATATTGTATGTCAGTATACCCTTGCTAATGAATGAGCATCTATTTAACCCAACCTTTTTTGCATCAGATTAGAGTGTTAGCAGTATAATAAAATTTAGGGAATCTTTGGATAGGAAGGGTCAAATATACACCACGATGTAATACAAGGCTCCAGAATTATCAGAAGTCATTAGATAAAAGAAAAGTAAAACAGACTTGAAGAGCAAAGACACAAGTAATTCAATTCAGAAATATTTAAATGAGTGCCTACTACATTCAAACCCTGCACTAGGATGTCTGGAAAAAGAAGTGGTGTGGACTGGCAGCTCGTTATGAGTCATCACTGTGATGTGGTAACCAAAAAAGCATTAAGAGACCTAGCATCTGGGAAGTAAGAGGTTAGAACTGCCCAGTGCTTTGCCTCCCTAGATCATATCCGGAGTACTTGTTTGATTCTGGGCTCCACATTTTAAAAGAAGGACATGGATTAGCTGTAGAGAATGGAGAAGGAGGGCAGTCAGAATGGTAAAAGGCTTTGAAGTCATGTCACAGGAGGAGGAAGATTCAGGGTCTCTATGATAGCCGTCTTCAGATGTTTGAAGAAGAGTTAGATTTCTGTTAGGCATCAGAGTACCAAGAACAATGGGTAGAAATTCCCTAGAGGCAAACTCCCTAATAATTCGAATGGTCCAGAAGTAGAACAAGCTGCCTCAGGAGGCGGAGGTGTAGCATTCACCCACCTGTGTAGCACTGGAAAATTTTAAGCAGAACGTGGATGACCAGTTGTTGGGTATGTTGTCATGGAAGGAGTCATTTTGGGGTATGGAATAGGTCCTTTCTGGAGTCTCTTCTAGCTTTGAAATTCTGTAATTCTTTGACTCAGATCTGGGAATATGAAAACAAGACAATACAATCCCTGCTTTCCAGAAGCGTACTTTCTTCTGGGTTGAGGGACAAAACATGTGCTTAACTAGATATATACAAGGTATATGCAAAGTAAAATGCTAACTTCAGGAGGAAGACAATAAGAGAGTGTGCCATGAATGGGAGGATCAATCAGGAAAGACCTCATTTTGGGAGGTTGCATCTGAGCTGTGCTTTGAAGGGAGCTGGGGTTCTCTAGGGTGGAAATAAGGTGCAAGTAAAATGTGACATGAGGGAGGAAGCTGTGCAAAAGTCCAGAGAAAGGAATGGAATGTTGTGTGGGAAGGTCAGTTAGCAGGGCAGTTTGGCTGTTACAGAATACAGAGAGGAGAAGTATGTGAAATACCACTGAAAAGGAAGGTGGGAGCCAGATTGTGGAGGACCAGGCTGAGGATTTGGTATTTTATCCCATATGCAATAGGGAGCCATCAAAAACTGGTGGGGAGACGGTGGATGGTGGAGTAACATGATCAAACCTTTGCTTTAAGAATATCTGTTTGGCAGCTGTTTAGAAGATGGATTCAAGAGGAAATGGATGAGAAACAGGAAGACTAATTAAGAGGCTTATTCAAACAGTACAGGTGAGAGTTAATAAGAAACCTGAACTGTAGGTATAAGACTGAGAGTGGTGAGAAAGGGACGAGTGCTAGAGATGTTGGCAACTGGTAGTGCAGTGGATAGAGCACCAGGCCTGGAGTCCGGAAAACCTGAGTTCAAATCTGGCCTCAGACTCTTACTAGCTGTGTGACCTTGGGCAAGCCACTTGACCTCTGTCTGCCTCAGTTTCCTCATCTGTAAAATGGGGATAGTAACAACACCTACCTTCAAGGGTTGTTGTGAGGTTCAAATGAGATAATATGTGTAAAGTGCTTAGCACATTGCCTGGCACATACATGGTAGGCATTATATAAATGATATCTGTTAAAAGGATGATGGTGGTGGTGGTGGTGGTGATGACAGAAACTGTATGTCTTGGTGATTAATTAGATATAGAAATTGAGAGTAGTTGCCAGGAAGTCAAGGATGGCTACAAAGTTGAGAACCTAGGTGTCTAGATTTTTGTTGAGTTTGAGATGCCTACAGCTCATCCAGATAGAGATATCCAGTAGACATAATATGGGACTTTAGTTCAGGGGAGATGTTAAACCTGAATATATAGATTTGGGAGTTACCTGGGTAGAGATGATAATTGAACTTGTGGAAGCTGATGAGATCATATTCATTGTAGATCTAAACCTAAAAGGAATTTTAGGAATTGCCAAATCAATTCAATTCAGCCTACATTTATTAAATGCCTATTATTCAGATTCTCTGCCAGGTTCTTGAAATACAAATAAAAATTCAATAGCACCTACTACCCTCAAAGAACTTATCTTTCTATTAGGAGAGATTATATATGAAGGAAGAGAAGAAGACTCAAAATAGAGAGGCTTGAGGGACGACACATTTAACCCACCCACATGACAAATCTCCTAGGGTATTCATTGATTCTAGTTTACATACTTGTTTGCTAAAGCTGTTGGGTAAAGCAGAAGTTCTCCAGGTATGGATCTCAGGATGCCTTAGGCAGCACCATGACCCTCTTAGCAGTCTGTAAGATCAAAATGATTTTCACAATTCTAAGATATTTTCATTTCTAATGTGGCAAATATCAGTAGGTCTAACTCCCATAAATAAATCCTCTTGCGGGGAGGAGTTCTTCAATAATTTTTAAGAGTGTAAAGGAGATGGGGCAGCTAGGTGGCGCAGTGGATAGAGCACTGGCCCTGAAGTCAGGAGTACCTGAGTTCAAATCTGGTCTCAGACCAGACACTTGATACTTACTAGCTGTGTGACCCTGGGCAAATTACTTAACCCCAACTGCCTAAAAAAACAAAAACAGGGAAACAAAACAAAAAAAAAAGAGTGCTTTTTAAAGGAGATCTGAGACCAGAGAATTTAAGGAACCACCAGGGTAGAGCACAGCCAACATCAGTGACCTAAAGCATGGCTTTAGATCAAAGTTAGGCCTAAATATCCTTATATTCATTTTCTATCCTTAAGTGGTAGTGGTATTTATTGCCGTATAAGCCATGCAGTGAAAATCTCATAAATGTCATCACTATTCTAAAATAGGGAGCAATTTATCAGAAAGGTTATATTTGAACACAAATGATGGAAATTTTGAAGAATCTTTTAGCTTTTAAAAATTAGCACTTTGTTTAGCCATATTTCTTTTTGCTAAGAAATCACTTTAGCAAAGTGGTTAAAGCTTATTATTTTAAAGAAAACCACCAAAGAATGACAGTGTTCCTAAGTTCCTTAAAAGCTAATGAAAATGTTAGTTTTGCTGAACTTTTCCCCCCCCTTCCTTAGTCTTCTTTGTTATAAGGGCTTGGAAGAAAAGGGATCCTTTGGGAAATATAGGTAATAGCAAAAGACAAACAGAAAAATATTTTCTAAATCCAGTGAAAATAATGTACAATTCTGTTACAGATTAGAGACTCCTTATAATATTGCCTTATAATGTTTAGTTGTTACCATATTTAGGAAATGGTTTCCACTTGAAGTGAATATTGCTCATGATTATAATCATATATCTTTAAAGTCTGTGACCTTTTCAAAACTAAATTGATTCATTTTTTAAAAAAATGAATGTGTCTCTCCTCCACCCCAATTAGGATCATAAATCATAGATTTGGATTTGGAAAGAAAGAGCTTTTAAGGCCATCTAGTATCAGTCTCATTGATTTTACACATGAGCCCTTGAGAAGTATTTAGTAATCGATGTTACTCAGGTAGCAAATAGTGCAGGGGCTGGGTTTCAAGCTCAGCTCCTCCTCTGAGGTTCCTTCCAGTTCTAGCTCCCATGAGCCTATGAACCTGTTTCTTAAATCCAGGGGTTTTCCACCATATTATGTGCTTCCTATATGAGAAATGGGCGGAGGTAGTTTAAAAAAAAACAACTTTGAATTTGCTTTATATGAACAGACCTCAGGATCTAAAACAAAAAGATAGTGAACTCTCATTTAACAAAGATTCTCCTTTTTGTGTAGTGTTATTTATTTTATTTTTAAATTTCTGCTGGTGATGCATCTGGCTGGTTGATTGATACCTCCTAAAATGCCCTGGAATGTCTCTTTAGCACCATCTGGTGGGTTCCAATGAAGTAGTACTTAATTTCTTTTAAAGATAAAATTCTATTTATACTGTGACATTCCAGTTGATTCCTGGAATGTAGAATGGTAGGACTAGAAGGGATATTCAGTATATTCTGATCCAACTCCTTTTACTTTACAGAGAAGGAAACTAAAACCCAGAGAGATCAGATGGTCTGTCCAAAATTCCACAGCCAACTAGTCAAAGAACCAGGATTAGAACCCAGGGGTCCTCACTCATAGTCTGGTGTTCATTCCAGTATTTAAACATTTACAAGTTTTATATTGCTACACTTATTTGTTTTTGTTTTGAGGGAGAAAGTACCTTTTATAAGTATTTTACTGTTGTGGAATTTGATGGCAAAATTAACTGAGTTCATTGATTAAAGTGGTTCTTTAGCTTGGAGGCCTCCATATTTATTCTAAATGTCTATGAAAATACCTTAATTGTAAAAGTATCCTGAATACTCTGCTAGCTTTCTATCAGTCTGTGTAGAGATTTTACTGCCAGTAGGAGTGTCATGTTGGAAATATTCAACGATTCCCTGTCTTGTCCTGTCATTTCTCTTTTGGATGCTTTGTATGTTGTATCTCCCATAAGTCTGGAATTGTCTTCCATTTCCCCCTTTGAAATCTTTGTGTTCAGTGCCCAACCCAGACCCTACTTCCTCCTTGAAGCCTTCCCTGATGATTTAGAGGGCAGCAGAGTACAGGGGAAAGCACTGATTTGGAGTCAGAGGATGTGGGTTCAGCTTTCTGTTTTGTTGTTTTGTCATTTAATGTCTTTGTGGCCCTACACAAGTCATTTAATCTCTCCATACCTCAATTTCCATGTCTATAAAATGAGGAAGTTGGGCTAGATGACTCTAGTCATCTTTTTTTTCAATGTCTTCATTTCTTTCAATGGGAAATATGATTCTGGGATCTCCTGTTTTCCCTAGTCTTTTAAATGCTTCCTACATACATGGCAAAGATTTTTTTAAAAGACAGTCTTTGCCAATGGCCTCTAAGTTTCCTTCCAGCTCTAAACCTGTGGTCCTATGATACCTCAAAGATCTTACTTTTTGCTGGGGGAGGCTGTTTTGGAACAGCTGTACTCACAGATAAGCATACTGCAAGCTAGTGTGCAGAAGAGGTATAGCCTAGATCCCAACCAAGTGTTCTAGGAAAACTTTACCTGGGAAGATACTTCCTAAAATGTGCAGTCCAGGCTTTGATGCACTTACTCTTGTTATAATTTTGATTGTAGTAATTTGGGTTTTTTTCTTCGCCCCACTCCCTAGTAAATTCTAAACTCCGTGAAGACAGGGATTGTCTCATCTTTGTATCCTTAATTCCTTATACGGTGTATTGAACTTAATTAGGTGATTAATAAACATTGGATTGAAATTCAACAGGTGTTTAATAGATGCATACTGAGTTGTAAAATGAATGATACCTTGGTGTTTAGTGGAAAAAGCCTTAGATCAGAGGTCAGGACCCCACTGAGGTTCTGGTACATGCTCTTCTGGTAAACTAGCTTATAATCTTGGGAAATCAAAACCACAATCTTTGAATCTCTGTTCACCTCTAGAGAGATTAAAAGATTTCTATGATACCTTCCAACTCTAAAATCCTGTGATCCCTGTGTGAATTATTGGAGTCTCAGAGGTGTACTCCAAAGGGAACAAATCAACTGTATAAAGCACGTTAACATGACTGATAGATTTAAATCTATTTCCAAAGCACATTTGACAGTATGCTTCTTCCCAACTGTTTAATCTCAGATTTCACTCCCCCCCCTTTTTTTTTTTTGCCAGAAATCCAAAAAACCCCAGGCAGTAGAATCAGCTTCTAAGCCAGATGTCGCTGAAGGTAACTTTAGTATAATTTCATTATGCTAAAAGGCTACTTTCTTTTCCCTTCCCCCCCTTCCTAATTTTATGCTCTAATTCTTTTACAGATTATCCAGGGCCATCGAGGGTTAAGGGTTTAAAATATGAAGAAATACACTTTAATTCTAAAGAGAAGAAACTCAACTCTACTCAGAAAAGCACAGGTTTGTTCATCTAGAGAAAATAATTATTGGTTTAGGGTAAGGGTTCTTAACCTGGAGTTTGTTAACTTTTGATTAGAGTGTATACATGCATATACACACACACACACACATATTCTAATAACTCTTTCAATATAATTGGTTCACTTTGTAATGCTATATATTTTATTTTATGCATCTAAAAATATCCTAAGAAGGAGTCCATACGCTTCACCAGACTGCCAAGGTCGGGGGGGGGGGTAGAAACTCTACCCTGGTTTAGGGAGAACTAGAAACACATCATTTTTTCCCCACTGTCTTACTGCATAATGGTGTAGACAAATAAGAAAACCTGAAATTGAAATTAGTATTGATTTAAATTACTATTTCATTTAGTATAAAATGTTAACTAGACAAAACTGTAATGTAGCTACTGACTTACTGACTTGGGCAAATCTCTTCAATACACATTTTATCATTGTTACTCATTTTACAGATGAGGCAACTCAAGTTAAATTTGTTGACTTGCCCAGAACCACACAGTTAGTAAGAGGCAATTAGAAATTCAACCTGAGGTCCTTTGCACTGATAGCAAATAACAGTGTTCTTTTGCAATCCATCCTTTATTTTAAAGGGGGAAATGTTTACATTTTCCTGATATAAAACATATATGAAGCAATATAAAGTAGAATTACCCAATAAATCTGTCGTTAAAATAAGATATCACTGCGTAGAAATTCCCATAGAACTAAATTTCCTAGCTATGTCAATATTTGAGGAGTTAGAAATGATGATTATATCATCATTCATATAATTTTTATATTTACATAATTTGTGATTATTAGGAAGATAGAAGGAACACGTACCTGAGGAACAGATTGACATTTATGAGTAAATGCAACATGGAATGTTTTCTGTTAAAGGTAAAAGAATATTAACTTGATATGCTAGAATTAAAACTGGTGCCTTTGTTTTTTGGTTTTTCTAGGAACAAATGGAAGTTCTTCAGGAAAAGTCAGTAAGTCTTCTGGAACTACTAAGAGATCCATAGCAGACAGTGAAGAATCAGAGGCCTACAAATCTATTTTTACAACACACAGCTCAGCCAAACGCTCTAAGGAGGAGTCCTCCAGTTGGGTTACTCACACATCATATTGCTTCTAAAGTACTATGTTGTATGATTGCAGCTTCTCTTCCCCAAGGAAGAATAGTTTTCGTGTAGCCTAGTCATTGTAATCTAATATTATCTGTTTTGTTATATTTTGAAAAGTGTTTATAAACTTGCCTTGTCTGTATGAAGTATAATAGTTGTAATTATTGAGTGTGTAGGAAAGATAGCAAATACTCAGATAATTGAGAAATTCAGTATTTCTTCAAGCATATTTTTAGAGAATATTAAACTGTTAAGGCATCAAATGCTTAAAGTAAATTTGATTTCATCTTGACTAGTAATTTTAATTATTTTAATCATTAAAATAATTAAAATCTTAACAGCCTTTTTCATCTTAAATTGCAGGTGCAGTTTAAGTTAAAATAAAGCATATACTAATGATGAAACTATTGCTTATTTGTCTTGATTTTTGTGTCCAACAGTAAAGTTGAACTGAAAGAGGAGAAAAAATTACCTACTTTGGTCTCTTAGGGGCATTTCAGAAGAGGTCATGCCCTTAACTTCAGTGATAGAGGAAACCAGAAAGTTGCACTTCTGTAAAATAATTAAGAGAAAATGTCTTTGATGTGTGGCTTTAAAGATAGAACAAATATAGTTTGACACTGGCTTTTATATATAAATGCAGCTAAGGGGAAAATAAGGGTCAGATAAGGGGAAAAAACAACAATCTTTTGGTGAGTTGATGTAATGGGTGGCAATATCTTAGGGCATTGGAATAAGCCAAATGAATCTGATCCATGTAATCAAATGAAGAGCCCCCTAATTACTAGGATATCTCTGCCTCTCAAGGTCTTAGTCCTTAGTTACCAGTTTTGGTGTTCAGCATTACCTCTTTATGTAAGAATTTTTTTCTGTAAAACCGTTGTTCTAACACAGTAAATTTTCCCATTAATAAGCTTATAAGCTTCATTGTAATGTTTCCAGTTAAAGATACATAATCACTATGTATGGCCTCTTTTTTCATGTTATGGTCATTTGGTAGAAATTGGTTAATATTTTGATTGCTGTGTAGATATAAGTTCCAATAGAATACAGATTCCTTAAGGGCAGCACCATGTTTTGTCCAAAACTGGCATGGCTGCCTTGTAATTATTAGGTATTTAATAAATGTTGAATTGAATTGTCTGTCATGAGCTATTCATTTCAGCAACATTGATTTTGTGCCTATTCTATGCAGAGCACTATATGCCAGATGCTGGAGGTGAATAAAAAGATAATTAGGAAATGATGATGAGTAATTGAAGCCTTGCCTTCAAGGAGCTAAAGTTACGTTTAGTAGGGAGATAGCTATAGTGTAGCTAGTATTGTGCCCTTGGTTAGTCACATCTGTTTTCTGGACTTCAGTTTCCTTCATAAAATGAGAGAGTTGAACTCAAACATTTACTACCATCCTTTCTGATTCTAAAAGTTAATGATTCTTTAGTAGAAAGTAGTATGCTCCTGGGGCTTCAGAGGAGAAATCACATCTGATTTGTGGAATAGGGGAAAGTGTTCTTGGAAGAGGAGAATTTTGTGAAGGATCTTAAAGGATGTGTAAGAGTGGAGTTCTCGGGGGAGAACATTCCAGTTGAATGGCGTATTCAGAAGCATGGAGGAAGGAAAGTCCAGAGTGTTTACAGGAGGAGTATTCCAGTACACCTGCAGTATAGGGAAATAGAAAGAAGCCAGGTCGGCGCCACTTTATGGAGGACAAATTATCAGTGGCTTTGATAGTACTTTGGTTAGGTAACCTTTCAGTGACTCTCTGTTGCCTCCTGAATGATTTGGCAATGCTACTCCATAGGCTGGATTGGAGGAGAAAGAGACATGAAAGCAGGGGGACTTACCAGGAGGTTGTTTGCAGGATTTCAGTCCAATTCAACGAACATTTATAAAGCGCCAATGTGCTGAGAACCAGGTATCTGAAGACAAAAATGTTTCCCATCCTCAAGAAGCTTCTGTTTTACTAGGACCGAGAAGTAATGAGGGCCTGAACTAGGCTAGTGATTGTGAGAGTGAGCGGACAGATCAGACGTATGCCAGATAATAGGCTTTCATGGCCTGAAATCATTGTAGTTGATTCCAAGTATAATTTCCTGAAGATATTCTTTCACCAGAACCTAAGTTGGTTTTTTTTGTTTTTTTTTTTTAGGCAATTGGGGTTAAGTGACTTGCCCAGAGTCACACAGCTAGTGTCAAGTGTTTGGTCTGAGGCTGGATTTGGCATCAGGTACCCCTGACTTCAGAGCTGGTGCTCTATCCACTGCGCCACCTAGCTGCCCCCAGAACCTAAGTTTTTATTAAATGAATCTATCCTTTAAATATTATCTTCTCTGGACTCAGCTCTTCAGTATTCATCAGTGAGCTAAAATTTCTTTGTTTTACTCCTTCTGGTTCCTATTCTTTTAAAGAAAAGTTCTAACAGCCAAAGGTACTTTTTGACAAAAGTGAAAGGAAAAAAATGTGTGTAATAAACATAATTTCCCTGTTGTGGATTCTATAAGTAGGTATATGCCAATACTGAAAATTCTGAAATTGAGTATTTGTTGGAATTTAACTTTTTATGCTTTACAGAATTCACCACTACTCCCTTCCTCCCACCCCCACCCCACCCCCAGACCAGCATATATATCCATTCCTTAAAATATCCTTCAAGACCACAGTCAGTTACCAGCTCCTCTATGAAGCCTTTCTCCATAAAACTTTATTTCTTCCTTAAAGTCTCCCTGACTTCATGGATATATCACTGAAGTCTTCAAGAGATATTGTAAGAGGGATTCATGTTTACACACAAGTTGGCCTAGATCCTCTGAGAGGGTTCTCTCAGTTCTGAGATTTTTTTGTTTTCCTTCTCTGAATTCTTAGACCACCGTGTCATTACCCCCAGGCAATTTTGCCCTGATAGTGCCCTATCTTGTTCTATCTTGTTGCTAGTCGTGTGTATGTGTGTGTGTGTGTTTCCTGTTTTCCAAACTATACTTTGAGCTTCATGAAGGCAGGGACCATGACTTAGACTAACCTGTATTCTGTCTACCACACAGCTTAACACAAGGCTGAGCACGTAGCGAGTATTCAGCAAAAAAAAAAAAAGTGATGATATTAAGCACTAAACAAAGTCTTGTGTCAGTAAGTATAGAATATTCTCTACTTCAGGATACACATCAGCATGCAACTCCATATATGACCAGGGTCTTTGGTCTTTATGTTTAAAGTTTAAAAAAAAGTTTGCAATCTGTGATAAAGATATATTCCTAGAACTCAAAAGTATTGTTTGTGTGGGAAGACATATTTGGAATAAGGGCTTATAGTACACAGGCAATATAAAGAAAGAACAGGGAAGTACATTGGGCTTTAGATTAATCCAGCCCCATCTTTCTTGCCTGCCCCTTTAAGCCCTTCTCTCTGACCTGGTGGTATGGGCCATTACACATACACACTTCCCCACCCCCCATCCTCCAGCACCTATGATGTATTCTAGTGATTCAGGCAGGTGGTGATGTCACAAAAGACACAGACAACTTGGCTTTCAGTTTCCCAGATGCCTGGGGAAACACACTCACCATGAGCAAATACTCACCCCTCTCTGCTCATCATGCATATGCTGAAATGCTTTTTGTTCTTTTTGATGTGCACTGCTTTAGGTTATGCCTTTATGTTCTCTTCTCTGAAAGAGAAAGCCAAAGAACCTGCGGGTGATGTGCCTTGCGGAGGCCACTTTCGGGTGAGACAGAATCTATCTGACCAGGCCAAAGGCTGGCTTGGGAGTAAATGGATCTGGCTGTTGTTTGTTGGACTACTCTATGCTCTAATAAGATTCCGAGGGGAAGGTGACAAAAATAAGGTGAGGATCTAGTTTTGAATGGAAGAGAAGTATTGAGTTGCCTTTACATTTTGTGTCACATGTTGTCTGTGTCTGAGTTTGATCAGGCTTTATTTTCAGTATATGTGTCAGAAGAGGTAAATGTCAGTGGGGATGGAAGATACCTGTGTCGAGGAAATCATTGGACTAAAAAATAACCTTATGTCAGGAAGAGAACCTGACCAAAAAGAGAGGTTTAGAATCGGCTTATTAAATGAACCCTTTAAAACTTGTTCTCCGAACTAGAGTACATAAGGAGCCATCATTTCTTCAGTGATTAACTGGCAGAGAGTATCCAAAGGCCTTGCTCTGAAGCTAACTAACTCGAAAAAAATATTTCCATAAGCAGATTCAAATACACAAACTCCAGATTGGATTTTCCTTCAGATAACAGGCATTAATGACAAGTCAGGAAAATTAAAACATTAGCTATTTTGGATGAAAATTGGCTCATTATCTATTTGAAAATAGCTATGTTTTTCCTAGTGACTTACAGCATGAAAATAATTCTATAATTACAATATACATATAAATGTAATTTTATGATACAATATGATTCTTTCTGATCATATTTATAAATACAATATGATTCCGATAACTTAGGTTATCCTGCTGTCTGGGGGGCAAGAGGGGAACAACATAGTGTGTTTAAGTTATACTTTGACAACAACAGCTACTTTAGATTGATCCACACTCCTCCTCACCAACCCCAAGTGTATGACTCATTACTAATATTTTCTTTGACAGGATAAGGACCTAAGCGGCGGAAGTTTGTACCACCCCCTACAAAAGAAAAATCAGAATGCTGCCCCTAACAAAGACTATGCACTGAATACCTTAACCCAACTGGAGATGGATCTGGTGACATTTGTGTCTAAAGTGCGAAGTCTCAAAATGGCCATGGCAACTGGTAATTCCCTCAAGCTTCCAGACTCAGAGGTCCCTTCAGATCCACACAACAATATTACGATATATGAAATATGGGGAGAAGATGACTCTGACTAGATTGGTTTGGATGTCAAAGTAGAAGAGGAAAGAAAAAGTTGAATGATTGACAAACACTATAAAAACTAATAAACTATTCCCAAGAAAATAATTCCCTCATTTCATACCTTTTTTAATATTTTAAAAACTTTTAACTTCTCTGTTATGTGAGACTGGTGACTTTAGGTTTTTTTTTATTTAAATAGAGAATTATGTTAGTAGTCAACACATTCTGCCCAGAATTACAAGGGAAACTTTCTCCTTGGCCATGATGTTAATGATTTTTCTCTGTTTTAACTGGGTCTGGGGAATTATTAGAAAAATACTGTTGTAGAAAGGGCAAAGTTTTTCATACAAACTTTTTTTCTTTCCCAGTTACAAACATATGTATTCTATGAAGAGTATTTCTGTTTTGATGTTATATATCTTAGAAATGTGGCTTTAGATACAGCTGCCTAAACAAAGAGCTTCTATGATCTCTAGGGAGATTGTATTAAAGTTGGACAAAGGTCAAGTACAGCTTTTGAAATGTATGACCCTGTAGAATGTGTTATGTAACTATAAGTCTTCTCACCATTCTCAAGAGTTTGAATGCCAGATCAGATGGAAATTCTTTCTTCCTTGCCCCTTGTCTTTTGCTATTGATGGTGTTATAGAGTTCATCAGGAGTGGATCTTATAAGCACGAAAAAACTAGCACGTAGAGCCATCATTTTTCCTCTTCTATTTTACATTAGGGAGGCTGAAGAAGTAGATTTCCATCCAAGTCAGTAATTATCAAATGTGTATTTGTTCATAAATACTTAATACAACAACCTTTAATAAAGTTCATGTGATTTCAGAACATTTGGTTGGTGAAAGCTATTCCTACACTGAAATGAAATGCAGCCCCTGAAATATTGAAGGGCATCATAAGTCCCACAAAAAAGGACCTTTGCCAACAGGATGGTTGTAAACTGTTAAGAAGAACAACAAGTAATAACAACTTTGAAAATTTGAGGAAATTTTGGCAAGGTGTACATACCACAGTCCTCTGATTTAGGAAAAGTGAAGCATTTTTTGCATTAGTAAAGTGAACAGAATTTGATGCTGATTCAATTCGCAAATATCCCTTGGATTCTTTCTGTTATGGAGTATATAAATTGAGAAGCAGAGTTTGATATATGCTACCTGAAAATCTGGATTTGTACTATTGGCCTAGAATAGTCCCATACCATCCTGGCCACAAAACTGTTGTCTAGAAAAGCCTGGTAGGCCAGCCAACATTTGTGTTTTGTAACTAGTAATGGGCAGCCATGTGGTGCAGTGGATAGAGTGCCAGACCTGAAGTCAGGAAGAGCCAAGTTCAGATTTGATCTCAGACATTAGCTACGTGACCCAGGGCAAGTCACTTAACACTCTTTGCCTCAGTTCCTCATCTGTAAAATGATCTGGAGAAGGTAATGGCAAGCCATTCCAGTATCTTTGCCAAGAAAACTCCAAATGGGAGCATGAAGGGTTGAACACAATTGTAACAACTGAACAAGGTTAGATTAGCAGTGAAAGGGGAACCATAAAATTGTTTTGATAGAAAATGTGTTCCACATTCCAAACAACCAAGTTACAAATGTGTTGCATTGCAGAGCTCATTTTTGAGTAGTAGGACTGGATCATTTATAAGGTCTAGATCCTATAGCAATGAGGCTAAAAGTTCTTATGTATATGTCCATACATAATTGGATTTTTAAAAATAAATGACTGCTGTCTTCTACGGTGTTGTCCCCTTTAACAGATGATATGTTCTGAGGCATGGATCCCTCATTGGAATGTCTAGAAATTGCTTTGCTACCTGTGGCATGGAGAGAATTCCTATTCCTTTAAGTCTCTTCAATTGTAGCAAACACACCACCTCTAAATGTTGATTTAATTTTGGAAACAGCCAAAAATCATATGGTTCCAAGATGTTATGGCTATAAAGTGATGAGAATGGCTTTCTCGTGTGTATCCTAAATTAGCTCTGGGGGCAGTCCAGTAGAAAAGTCTCTAGATGTTGGTACACAAAATGTGTAGTGTCCTTTCAAATTATTTACCAAGTAATAAGACTGATTTTTTTTTATCATATTCTCTCTGTGTATATGTGTATAAGTGGAGATGGAAATATCATTTGAGTGAAGTCAGTCTTTTTGTTCTGTTAAACTTAACTTACCCCACATAAATTGATTTTAATGAGGATGTGATTCAGGAATCTAATCCACTGTCATGTCAAGGTTTTCATTTGAACTTCATGTAGTTATAACAAAAATATGGGCATTTTAAGAATGTGAAGTTTTAAGGGGATAATCAGTCCTAAGTACACTGAAGTTAGAGTTGGAACCCAAGCCAAGGTCTTCGGGTTCTACCCCTTGCCTTGGATAAGTAAGTCACTTCTCTGGGCCTTGGGTTCCACATATGTTTAAATGAAGGCAGTAATGTTGCCTACCTCACAAGATTCTTGGGAGGACCAAATAAAATGATGTATGTGAAGCACTTGACACTTTAATAACACTTTTAAAGCTCTGTATTTCCAGCCTTTCCTCTCAACTTCTCAATGGGACTCATTTATTAACCACCTCGATGTTGCTGCCTTTCTTCCAGCTTACTTTCCCACTGAGTATGAGATATCACTGCTGCTTTGGGAGGTATAAAATTGTAAGGCAATACACACAAAAGTACAAATCATTCTGTATTAACCTAAGATGACCATCTACATTTCTATAACAGAGAGGGAATACTCCTGCAAAAGATAAAGTATTTCAGTCATGAAAATTGGTCCCTTACCTGTCCAAGTAAGTCAATAATATATATAGTGGCTAACATATATATAGGGCTTTAAAATGTGCAAAATGCTTTGCAAAGGCTAGAAGTGATTTTTCCTTCATCTGTTCTCATAGCAATCCAAAATACCCTCGAACATTCTCTCTCTGGTCACCATTCACTCATATGTGTTGTATACTATATTAGAATATAAGTGCCTTGAGGGCAGGAATTGTTTTCATTTTTGTACTCGTATCCACAGTGCTTGGTACATAGTAAGTGCTTGAGAAATGCATTTTTCATCTATTCATTATTCTCATCTTACTGATGAGGAAATGGAGGCTCAGAGAAGTTAAATGATAGGCAAAATAACGAAGATAGCACGAGAGGAAAAGATTCCAACTCCAAGGCCAATGTACTTTAAATTGCATCATACCAAAGAAATTTGGTTCAAATTTTAATACTGGTTAGGATTTCTTGTCCACAAAAAATGTGCTAATTTGTTATGTCAATTCATAAGTTAGTCCAGACTTTAAATGAAGAAGGTCTGGCTGCTCCAACCTATATCATAATCCCAACTTATTTTTTTCAAGCCACCCTCTTACCCCCCACCCCAAACCTCTCATATATACCCTTCCTTGAACATATCTGGTAATCTCGGAGGTGGTAGGAATTTTATTTTGAGAATTTCATGTGAAATCACTATGATATGAAAATGTATTCACACTTTATTGTGCTTTGGCTGGGAAGTGGAAGAAAAGAATTGGAAAAGAGTTACCACCAAATCGATGAGATGTCACAATTCCAAAATTCTCAACTTTGTGCAATACTACAGAGCTCAGAAATATTCAGCAATGTAGAATTGTGAGTTAATTTTTACCGAGATGCTTTACCTCTAGCATCTTGTTTTTACCAAGATGAACTTAACCTCTAACATCTTGTTGGATCCTACCAAAAACCTTGTGAGGTAGGTTGTATTATTATCCCCATTTTTACAAATAGGAAACTGACACCAAGAGAGGAAGTCACTTCCACAAGGTAGTGGTAGAATCTGAAGACCTGGAATAGGAAAGTGTTCCAGTTTTCTGCAGCACAAAAAGAGTACATGAAAGAGAGTGAGATGTCATCAGCATGGAAACATAGGCTATGACCAGATTATGAAAGGTTTTAAATGCCAAAGAGAGGAGTTTGTATTTTTATCCTTAAGGTAAAGAGAAGCACTAAAGCTTCTTAGGCAATGTACTGACATTACACCTGCACTTTAGGAATATCAATTTTACAGCAAATTGGAAGATGAATTAGAGGGAGAGAAAGAAAGGGATAAACGTGAAGAAACCAATACAAGGGTACAAACAGCTTTCTAATGAGCTCAGATTAAAACAACAATAAAATTAAATATGGAAAGAAGAGTCTAGGACAGGGGTGGGGACCTGCAGCCTCAAGGCTGCGTTTTAACTGAGTCCAAATTTTACAGAGCAAATCCTTTTATTAAGGGGATTTGTTCTGTGAATTTTGGATTCAGTCAAAGGGGGGCATTTAAGGATCTAAAGGGCCACATGTGGCCTCCAGGCATTCAGGGTTTGAGCCTTTGAAATGTGGCTGCAAAAACTCAGCACAAAGTGGACCATTAAAGTTTTGTTCAAAACAATAAGAAGGGGGGCAGAGCCAAGATGGCAGAGTGAAAGCAGTGACTTGCTTGAGCTCTCCCCCAAACCCCTCCAAATATTCATAAAAAAATGGCTCTAAACAAATTCTGAAGCAGCAGAACCCACCAAAAGACAGAGTGAAACAAATTTCCAGCCCAAGACAACCTGGATGATTGATCAGAAAGGTGTATTGCGCCGGGCTGGAAACCCAGTGCAGCGCAGCATGGGCGCGCAGGCCGCAGCAAACCTGCAGCAGGCCTCAGAGGACTGAATCGTGTGCAGCTGTGGAGGTTTCCAGACTCCTCAATCCACCAGTGCCAAAGACAACTTAGAAGGTCAGTGGAAAAAGTCTGTTTCTGTCGGTGGTCAGAGAGGAAGGCGGGATTTCACCTCCATTCCCCAAGAGCCTGGCCGGGGGTGGGGGGGAGGGCAGCTGCTTCCCGAGCTTCTGACCCACAGACTTAGGGGGAATCCAGTGGCTGATCAGAGAGGGACTGCAGGGATCTGTTTGCCAGTGCTGAGGCAGGAATCTCTTGCTTTGCCCGTATGTGGATCTGGGTCACAGTTCTGGGCAGTGGTGCTGGGGTAAGGAGGAGCGCTGGCATGGTGGAGCTTGGAGTGGCTGTGGAGAGGAACCCCTCCTCACAGTTATGGGACAGAAAGGAGTACTTTTGGTCACAGGCCAGGAAAGGAGTAAACACCTCACCCCTTATCATACCACCTTGGAAGAACTGAAAATTTACAGGTCCCTACAAGTATCTCTGAAAACAGCTACAAACCCCTGAAGCTTGGGACAGTACATCTCCACATTGGAAGCAGACTCTTTACCTTAACAAAGAGTTAAAACTCAAGTAATTGGCTGGGATCATGAGCAAGCAGCGCAAAAAGAGTCAGACTATATTATCTTACTTTGGTGAAAAAGAAGATCAAAATATACAACCAGAAGAAGACAACAAAGTCAAAGCTCCTACATCCAAAGCCTCCAAGAAAAATATGAATCAGTCCCAGGCCTTGGAAGAGCTCAAAAGGGATTTTGAGAAGCAAGTAAGGGAAGTAGAGGAAAAACTGGGAAGAGAAATGAGAGTGATGCAAGAAAATCATGAAAAACAAGTCAACAGCTTGCTAAAGGAGACCCAAAAAAATACTGAAGAAAATAACACCTTAAAAAGCCTAACCCAAATGGCAAAAGAGGTCCAAAAAGCCAATGAGGAGAAAAATGCCCTAAAAAGAAAAATTGGCCAAATGGAAAAGGAAGTCCAAAAGATTACTGAAGAAAATACTTCCTTAAAAATTAGAATAGAGCAATTGGAAGACAGTGACTTTATGAGAAATCAAGACACTGTAAAACAAATCCAAAAGAATGAAAAATTAGAAAACAATGTGAAATATCTCATTGGAAAAACAACTGACCTGGAAAATAGATCCAGG